GACTGATTTAAGAGAACAGTGTGCAGCTGCGAGATTTTGTTTCCTGATCGGGAAAAATGCCACTGAAATTGTTGTGATGCTGAACACAGCTTAAAAGAACAGAACTATAGGAAAAACTCAAGTGCAAGACTGATTTTCTTGTTTCAAAAAAGGTGAAATGTTTATTGATGACACCTCATTCTGGACATCTGTCAACTTCCCAAAAGGAGGAAAATGACAACTTGTAGTGCATTTGGAATTCATTCCACCAAGTCAGACTCTTAATCAAGCTTTCTATTTAGAGGTTCTGAAAAGATAGCGTAGTAGGGTGTGACAAGCACAGCCTGATTTGTGGCAAACAGGGGACTGGTTTTGCCACCACAACAGTGTACCTGCTCACACAGCCAGCATGTCTCTCTTGCCCCACGCACCTTACTCACCTGACCTAGCTCCATGTGACTTCTTTTTGTTTACACGAATGAAGAGGGACATGAAAGGACAGAGATTTGAGGAAGTAGAAGAGGTAAAGGAAAAAAAACAAGGAGAGTGCTATCAGCCATGCAAACAGATGAGTTTGAAAAATGTTTCCAAGAATGGAATCACAGATTTGAAAAATGTGTAATGTGTGAGTGTAATGGAGAGTACTTTGAAGGTGATAAGATTGCTTTGTTTTAAAAAATTGTTTTAGTTTAAAAAAATTTAAATACATAGTTTTGAGGGGGAAAATCCATTTTGGGGTGCAGTACCCCACATATTCTATTTTTTTGGTCTGAGGTTCTTTTGTGTTTTATTTAGTTGCAGTTGTTAGTTTTTTTGTTGTTATTTTTCATATTTTTAATTTTTAAAAGAATTATCCAAGTTATCATTTGGAGACAGCAACTAGATTTATAGTTTCTTAAGAGTTATGCAAAGGGAGTTTCGAGGGCAGGGTCACCGCACTGCTATGGAGTCGATGCTGAGTCAGAGTTACCCTATCGGACACTGTAAAACTGGCTCTGTGTTTCTGAGACTGTAACTATTTAAGGGAGTAGAAAAAGTCCTGGGTTTCTCCTTTCGAGTAGGGAGACTGGTTGTTTCAAACTACTGACCTTGCAGACAGCAGCCCAATGTTTAACCACCATGCCACCAGGGCTCCTTGGAGGAAAACTAAAAATGATGGGTACACGAATGAAAAAAATGTTCTAAAACTGATTGTGGTGATGAATACACAACTCTTTTCTATGTACTTAAAGATTGAATTGTATGATAAGTGAATAAAGTCAATAAAACTGCTGAATCCCGGCTTCTTGGCCACTCTCCTCCCAATCTCCGTAACAAAATAATCTAATTCTTTGGTTGAAGGAAACAATAGGAGATACGAAAAATAAACTGCTGCACATTTCGGTCACTGTGTTTCCCAGTGGATTGGTTTGGAGCAGCCATGTGGGCAATTTTGCTGGAATTACCCAAACAAGTGACTTGTCTCTTTGTAAATGTGCAATTGTGGTTTTTTATTGCTTAGGGTTTGTGTTCAGCTAGAATTCAAATTTTGCGTGAGGTAGGTCACCTTGATTTTATAACTGTTGGTTATATCAAGTGCTTGGTGTCTGGAAAGAATGATAAACAACCTGTATAGTAATTCTATGGTTTGAAACAACCCTGTTAGGTCACTCTTGGTGTTTTATGTCACTTTCAAAGTAGTAGAAGAACAAAAGCAAGATTTAACAAGGGGCTTCCTATGTCAATTGGCTTGGACCCCTTATTTCACAGAGAAAGACGCAGGCCCAAAGAAAGGAAACACTGGTTCGGAATCTCACAACGTGCAGATGACTGCCTGAGGGACACCAGAACTCGATTCTCCAGCTCAGATCTTCATGCTGCGCCACACAGCTTCTCATTCTGAGCACTTGTAGGTGAGACAGGGGCAAGTGGCATTCTGTCCCTCTGCTAATTAATAATAGACAGGCAATCACAGCTCAGTGGTAGAACTTTCACCTTCTCTGTAGCAGGCTTGGGTGTGATTCCAAGCCAATGCACCTCATGTGCAGTCAGTGGAGATTTGTATATTGTTATAATGCTGAACAGGTTTCAGCAGAGCTTCCAGGCTGAGCCCAACTAGGAAGAAAGGCCTGGTGATCTATTTGCAAAAACCAGTCTATGAAAACCTACTTACTGATTACAATGGCCATGGCATGT